TAATAATTATTTATATTCCCTATAAATTATTTTAATATCGAGTTAAGACTTTGAACATTGATTGCATGTTATACCTGCCAAGTCTTCCAGATTGAGCATTAGATATTACGTGCAGGGTGGATTGATTTTTTTAGTAATTTTCTTTGCTAAATGATTTATATTTTGAAGTAAATCATAGTGAATTTCCGGTTCCTTACATTATTTTGTAAAAATTCTGTTTCTAGAATTTCGAGGTTTGTTGACTAAGGAAGCAATATTTTCATAATGAATGAGATCAGTGGAAAACAAGAACTTGCTAGTACTTCATCCTGGGATGTCGTCTCACAAGTTTCATCTCTTCCCCATACACACCACAATGACATGGCAGTTTTGGTGCCTACGCCAATAAAAATTTCTCACTCCGTTGGGCTTGATGGTGTAATTCCCCATCCTTCACCAGGACCTCAACTGCCCCAAACACCACATGTAAGTTTGTAACAGACAAAATAAGTCTGATCATTGCATGCTTCTTGAATAGAAAATGGGAAACAACTTAAGAATATGGTGATTGTATTTCAGCAATTTGAAGTGCTTATCAGTGGAATTTATTTGCCATACAAGTGACTACACATTGTCTTTCCAATTTACTTTTATTTCCAGGTTTCACTGTTTATCTCAATGTTTTTATTTTTTGTGTCTATTTCTACTGTATTGGCTGTTGTGTTGAGATGCTGCTTTGTAAATCCTCTTTGAAAATCTTCAGTTCCCTGATGATAAAACCGATTTGCTTTATTTCATGACACTGTTGCTTTTGTTCACTGATGTGCTGAAGTGTTAGGTTTTAGAGTAAGATTTACAAAAACAGATAGTTACCTCCTATTATACGAGGTGCGATCGGAAAGTTTCCAGATTGTGTCAATAGAGGGCGAACCGGATGTAGTACGAGCTTCTGCCGCTAGGGGGTGCAGCCTACATTCATAGTGAATCAGTGTGCCAGCCGGCATCATCGAATTAGCATTTGTTTCTTAGTTACGGGCGTTTTGGTAGTGCATTACACTGACCCTCCTGCGATTTCGGAATGGCGTGTGCATCAAATTTTGCCAAAGACTCGCCAAAACGGCTACGGAAACCTATGAAATGCTAAAGCAAGCATTTGGGGAGTCCGCAATGGGTCGTGCACAAACTTTGGTGTGGCATTCACGTTTTAAAAATGGCCGAACCTCTGGCGATGATGACGAGCGTTCTGGACGACCATCTTCGAGCACAACGCCCGAAAATGTTACGAAGATCGACGTCGTACCATCAACGACTTGGTCGACATTGTTGGGATAGGCTATGGGACCGGTCAGCTGATTCTAAAGGAAGACCTCCACATGCGACGCAAAATTCAGCTAAAGGGAAGGAGATTTGAGACGATAGAAGAGATTCAGGCAGAATCGCAGATGGTGCTTGACAGGCTGACAAAGAAAGATTTCCAGGCTTGGCAGCGGCGCTGGCGCTGGGATCGTTGTGTTCACTCCCAGGGGAACTACTTCGAGAGTGATGGATGAATTTAATACCTGAGATAAGTGTACGGGTTTTTATAGGCGCAGTCTGGAAACTTTCCGATCGCACCTCGTACAGTCTATTGGAATTGCCACAGTGTGATCAGGATCTCCACACAGATCATGGATCCTACCTTAAGGCAAAAAGGCACCTTTATACTGACTGATCTGAAGCACTGACTGGCTCATGTTCTTCCTATTCATCCTCTGTATCACAGTACATGTAGTTTCGTAATGTGTTGTGTGTGATTTTACAATATTACAAATACGAAAAAACATAACCAGGTTCTTTAATCATCATAGTGGAAGTATGTACTTTGTCTATTGGCAATAGAAGAAACAAATCAAATTTTGGAACTTGGCAAATAATGAAATTTAATTCTCCAAAACAAGTTTATCGCATTACAACATTTAATTTAAATATGAATTCAAATATTACAAGAATCACTATTTGTTACACTATATTTACATCATCAGATGCATTTTGACTCCTATAGTATTATCATCAGTGGTTCGATGTTTATGTGTTTGGTTGAAAAATTCATGAGAAATTCACTGCGACAATTGTGTCAAAATAAATAATGTCATTATTAATATAGACTGAATCAGTTATATGAAACATTAAAATCCCTTTAAGTGTGTTAAAGTAGTACTGAAAATTAGATAATGCTACATCATATTTCTACATTCCAGGACTTCTTTTATCTAGACCAGTGGTATTCAACCTGGGTAGGCGAAGACACCCTAGGGGGTGCGTGAAATTTAAAAAATATATATATTATTTTATGATAAACACTGAATAATTAGTAATATAATTTATTTTAGATGTAGATTACAGGTAGCCCTCGATTTACGCCTGGGATGCGTTCCTGGACGAACCGGTGTAAATTGAAACTCTTTTATAATGTAAATCAATGGGAAGTCAATGACATGCGTTCCCAGCACCCAAACATTGACGAGTAATATAATGGCATTACATTTAAAGCTCTGAAATAATGTAAATAAAATAAAGGGAATTTTAAAAATATATTTTATACACTTGCATGCTTAATTGCAGAGATGACTGTATTTATAATTTTTATTCAAAATCAGCGATGTAATTGTAAAACGTTATAAATAATAGTAAAATATATTTTTTCACTTTTTTACTTTCAGATTTCAAAATCGGCATTATTCTGAATCTGTGCAAATTGAACCGGCACAAATCGAGGGTTACCTGTATGTACTATGTATAACTTGAATTATACACCAACAACTTTGGGGGTTCAAAATTGAAGAGAAATTATATCTGGGGGTACGCGAACAAAAAAAGGTTGAATACCACTGGTCTAGACTACATGGTGCACATATTGCTGTGCATTGTACCTTTTTTTTGTCCACTCCTCAAGTGGTATGTTTGATGCGCTATTTCACTTACTTTTGTTGTAAATTATCGATAACCTCACGATCCATTTAGTTATCACAGTTTTCAATCACAAACTCATTTCTACTGGTAATCAGTCGTACCATCGTTCCTGCTATTGCCGCATTTTTGTTCGTGTCAGTGGTTACATTGAATAACACATTTGAGTCAGTGACTTGCTCTTGTTTTTATATAGGTTTGATTTTAATGGCTTTATAAATATAAAATCTTTCTAGTATGTCGTAAGTTTTTCTTTTTATGACACTTTTGTTGTGTCAGTTGTATTTTCTGTTGTACCTTATTCATGATTATGATGAAGTTTATGCAGGGCATACATGATTTTTCTTTCTCATAGCAGTGAATATGAAGATGGTTGTCTTGTAGGTTGTTGCATCATGTGGTCTGGTAGGTGATCAGACAAAACCGTACACGAAAATTGCGCACAGAAAGCAGCTCACTGTCATAAATGCTCACACGGACTCACATGGACGAATGCCCATATTCACAATACTATAAGCAATCAGAAGCGTTAACTGGTTACCGTAGTAAACCGACGTTTTGGAATCAAATTCAATAAAATATTCTCGGGCAATCAGCCGCGTTAACTTTTTACCGTAGTACGCCGACGTTTCGGGAACATATTCCGTAGTTAACCGACGTTTCGGGATCAAATTCAATAAAATCTTCTCCTGCAATCAGCCGCATTAACTTTTTGCCGTAGTACACATTCTGTAGTAAACCGACGTTTCGGGAAAATGTTTAATACAATCTTCTCGGGCAATCAGCCGCGTTAACTTTTTATCGTAGTACACATTCCGTAGTAAACCGCTATAATAGTTTACTATGGAATATGTTCCTGAAACGTTGGTGTACTACGGTAAAAAGTTAACGCGGCTAATTTTGGTACGTTCCTTTGTGTTTACAAGAGTCTTCTTAAGCTTGAGCTTCTAGTTTGCAGTTACAAGCCAGTATTTTGGAGACTGTCTCAGCCTCCAACATCCAACTTAGTGTGATGAGTGACACAACCGCCCATTACATTTGTACTGGCCGCAGGTGAACCAATAGGAATAGTGGGTGGAGTCAGTAAGTCTTCACATGGTCTGCGTTACTTACCCTGGACTACTGGCTGTTGTTGATCCCATTTCTTAGTGGCCCGCATTGTTAGCGTACTGGTGGCCGGGTTCCAGGATCAGCTTACAGAGAATCTTGTGTATGTCGAAGTTGTTGCCAGATCCCAGTAGCCTCTTTCACTGTGCAATACTGGCCAATGCGATGGAGTCCTTGAAGTTGTTATGGTGAAGGTGAAGTGGTTGGATTTTGTGATTATAGTGTTGATCTTTGAGTTATGTAATAACAGGGAATTTCTTGACAATGTAACTCCCCCCCCTCAACAAATAAGATATTGTACATAAAACAAACATATGAGAGGAACAGTGATAATCTACTTAAAGCGTCTCTTTTCTTGTTTCAGTTCTGTGTCATTAGCTGCTATGCTCATTTATCTCTTTCATGTCTTGGTTTTGAAAAGTAAAGCACAGTTCTTTTGTTGTTTTTTAGGGAATGCCACCTGGGATATACCTGGAACCTGAGTTGCCACCAGAATTACTTCAGCAAGGTTGGCGCAAGTTTTGGAGTAAAAGGGAAAATCGCCCATATTTCTGGAACAAGTTGACTGGCGAATCATTGTGGGAGATGCCCCAGTTAAAGTCACAGGTTAGGTTAGGTTTGTCTTACTAAGATTATGATCTTTTGCATTAATTGGCATGTTTTTTTTAACACAGATAATTAATGTTGTTTCTTAGGAATTTTTGAACATGATCCAAGAATTAGGCTCTTTTATTTCTTTTTTGTATTTTTTATATCTTTGTTACAGTTTGCAGCAGATATTGTAACCTGTTAGCTAAAATAAAAAAGCATACGTTTAATATAAGTATCAAGTTGCAAGTTTTGGAAGGAAAGTTCTGTATAGTAATGAGATTTTATTTCCTTCAGTTCTTATACCTATCACTTAGGGGCTGAAAATGGGCAAAGGTGCATATATATGCTGTATACTTAGTTCCAGAGCAAATCTTTTAGTGAAATCCTTGTAGTGCCATAGACAACAAATATTATTCACAGCAGTGACAGGCATATAAGAACAAATTTCCAAATCTGCATTGTCAATAATTCCTTGTATAATGTGTGTTGGTCATTCTCCTGTTTTGTTTTTATCTGAAAAGTGATATTTGTTGTCACTTAATTTCACTTTATAGATATCAGAAATTGGGTAGATATATGATCCAAGACTGCAGTCACTTAAAATAAAGAATTTGCTAACATTTCTACCCTGCATTATATGGCTGAAAATTTTTTGGTATGGTGTCTCAATGTCACAGGAATCATTCTTATCTATATTGCTAAAAATAAATAATTTTGCATTTCTTCAAATGTTTATTTTCACTCATAAATGTATGTATGCTAAGCTGGGTACACACCAAGGCAAACAGTGTTAGCCGACAATGTTTGTAAACAAAGTTTATTGAAGTGATGTTGACAAACACTTGAAATCCATATAAAAACAATTATTTTCAGAAATATTTAATCTGCCACAATTTATTTTCAGAAATATTTAATCTGCCACCAATTATTTTCTAACTAACTAACTAGATGGCTTCACATTTAGTTAGACACAGTTTGATTTTTATAATCTTCTGACATGACATTTCATAAACCATTTCCACAACTTCTATTTCTCTGTTAAATTTAACATTTTTTCTTTGGGCCACTCTAAATCTATGCGTAAATGAAAATATAAATAGGCTACATAATTTAAGTCTTTAATGGTAAAACTGTATTTATTAACTGAAAATTGAAACTACATAAAGCAATTAATGAGATATCAATACATTACCTTTTCTTATTAGTAAAATATCAGATATATTTATTATAGATGTTTATTTTTGTTTATAAACAAAGCATGCACATGGTAAGTAGATAAACACAATTTGCTTTGTACCTTACTGCTCTGCAACAGGACATCAAATGTTCACACAGTGTTCATTGACTACTAAATGTTTACATGAAAGATTCATCACACATTAATATGAGAAACACTGTTTGTAAAAATTGTTCATTAATTCTGATCACCTTATTCATAGAAGGTGCAGCCCTGAAGTTCCGTGGAGAATTTGCATGATGCCGCTCCATTCATTCACTGTCTCTTTGCTTCTGGTTCAGTGTGGTGCAGTCACATTGTCTCCTGTCATGACGCGTGCCAGAAATTTATCCCTTTCTTGTATTTTAAAGAATCCACTCTGTAATCACGAATATAAGTTACAGTGTAAAATCCAGACATAATCTGAGCAGCCTTGTTTTCAGACATTGCTGTTGCTAATGTTGTTTCCCAGATCCATTTGCTGACTCGTCTAGCCGTGTTATGAAATATGTTCAAATTACATTTCTGTTGCAAGTGTCATTGATAATATTTGCATTGTTTTAAGTTCTGAAAGTAATACTGTGCAATTCTTATTTACTTGCAGGGTTTAATTAGATATTTTTACACATGGATAACATGCAGCATGAATAATGGGCTTACAAATTATTGAGAGTTGTTAGTGTGGCACATGATATGATTATTATGATGCCTTGTTTTGTTTTGTTTTCTAGTTTGATCCAATAACAGATCCATTAGGCATATGCAACACTCCAGCCATTGTGAATGGTCCACCTGGTCCTATTGCAATCAAGAGACGAGCCTCCGAGGAAGGTGTTGGAAGTCCGGTCGCTAAAAAATTTATTTTGACGTGCGTATCAATCTTGCTTTATTATTCATTTGACAATGATAAAGCCTGAGGATCCCTTCTTTTCTTTATCATTAAAATTCTTGTTATTTTGTTAACAGAGGTCCCTGGGATCTGGAGATTCAAACAAATGTAGTAATTTATGAGAGACCACCTACAATTTTACCTCATCCCCACCCAGACATTGAGACCTACAGATGCTCTTTGGCTGCCAAACTAAGACAGTGCTACCAGGAGCTCTGTCATTCCAGGGAAGGTATAGAAGTAATGTAAATCATATGTCATGAATTGTTGGCATAGAAATACAGAGAAACGCTTAAAAAATTAACCTTTTCCCTTTCAGCTATTGATGCACCAAAAGATTCTTTCAATCGTTGGCTGATGGAAAGAAAGGTGATTGATACGGGAAGTGATCCGTTGCTGCCAAGTAATTGTTTCCCAGAAATATCCATGTCAATGTATAGAGAAATTATGAATGATATTCCAATCAAGCTGGTAAGACCGAAGTTCACTGGTGATGCCAGAAAACAGCTGTCTAGATATGCAGAAGCTGCAAAAAAAATGATAGAGTCGAGGTGAGACTGGTTTTTCTTTAGATTTCATGTGTATGTTACATTAACAGAGACAGGGGCTCTTCTTGCAAGAGTAGGTATTTTAACATAGAAACAGGTTAATATGAGAAGTATGAAGAATAGCATTGTGTTATATTTCAGGATTGGTGCGCAAAATGCCTGTGAGATTCAAGGTTGTCATGGCAGTGAAAATGCTAATGTTGGTCTTTTAGATAGTAATGTTGTGTAGACTTGAAGGTGGAGGCAGTGTTTGTTCTTTTATCTGGTCATGCTTGCTAGTCCATAAGCTAAATTGAATTTTGTTGTTGAATTATAAACTTATGTGACTTAAATAATACATTAAAAATTACATTTATAGGACTGGAACTCTTATGCAATATGAAAGTAGGCTATATGAGCATTTTATTATACTTTTTAATTATTTGTGGCTCATTTATTATTGCACTGGCTCAGACTATCTTCAGATGTTCTGATGAATAATCAGTTGGGAACGATATGGAAGGAAGTGATTGTGGCCTAATTTAGGGTACTATCTCAGCATCTGTCTGGAGGGAGTGAGAAAGCCATGGAAATCTTAGTTAAGATAGCCAGTTTCTAGGCCAAGATTAAAACCCAGGACTTCTTGAATACAAAGCAGGAGTAATAACTACTCATCTGTGACTTTCAGTGTACTTAGTATCTTGCATAATTTTATTTTAATATCTGAGATGTGGTCTTAATTTGCATACTTCTATATTTTAAGGAATGCTACTTCAGAAAGTCGGAAAGTCGTTAAGTGGAATGTTGAAGAGACATTTCAGTGGTTAAGGAGGACAGTTGGTGCAACATATGATGATTTCCAAGATCGGTTGGGACATCTGAAGGTACTGATTATGTTTTTGTGTTTTCGGTTGAATGTTCTGGTTTTCAATTTTGTTGTCAGGATATCTCTACTTTCTGTTAGATTTTGTTATATAGTTTAAAGAAGTAAGTCCTGAACCCTAATTTGTTTCTTCCTATATTTATTCTGAACATGCATACTTCTTATGGAAGCTCATTGGATTGTATGATACTTATGGGTCATTCCACCTCAGTTCAACAATTTTTTGAAAAATCAGTTGCACCAAATTCTGTACAACTTACTATGCAAAAATTGTAGTCCCTTCAGATTTAGCATGTGCATTTTGAGATTGTTTTGTGAATTAGATTTGAAGGTACACATATTTCTGTGTGTAATTTTTCCCAGGTTTGGACTGCAATAACCATTAGTTGCAAGCACATGTTCTTACCATCAAATTATAGACCTTTGGAGTACTTGTAGGGCATATATGCCTTATTGCCCTTGTGAGCCAGTTTGATGGCATATTTCAGGTCATAACTTACCAAAATGTTCTCTGGTTTTTATAAACTGGCCAAAAATTGAGATTTATGATGTTACATATCTAAGAACTATTCATACATGCAAATATGAAAGTCTTTACACATTACTGCCTAAAGGAGGACACTGAAGAATATTAATATTGAAGTTGTAGCTTCAGGCAGTCATCAGATAATTGAGGTACAATAAGGTGCAAGTTCATTATATTGCAAACAATGTAAATTTTCATATCTCATTTGTTGACGTACGATGGTTCACACACATTTGTCATCTATACCAAAGATACATTGGCATATAGTAAACAATGTACTTAAAACTCAGTGTTGCACTCCTAATATACTCTGAAATAACCCTATCTCTTATGTAACGTGTAAGTACATCAGCCTCATTTTGCAGAATTCCAGAAATATCCTGATCCATACATTAACTTGCTTAAGGAAATGAAGCTTGGTAGATGATAGGTTGTAGCCTGAAACAGGCAGCACCAATGTTGCCAGGGTACTCAAGTTCTCGCCCACTTTGTATCACTGCTTCCCACAACGCGATACCACTGGGACAGCATGATAATATTTGTGTTTACTTAGACTACAGGCATACACAAAACAGTGCATATATTTTCAGGAAAATATTCTGCTTGCCAAACTGCAGGTTTTAGGAGCAATTGCTTGTGAACATGTTCATGACCTATTTAGAAAATATAACAAAATATCCTGATATTCACTTGACTTTGAATAATGGATATATTAAATGAATGCATACAAACACAGAAACTTGAGTAGTGAAATTCCATGATCTGTTAATATTGCACTGGCCCTTAATTTGTTAAAATGAGTTTGCTAGATTATATTTTTCAGCTGGACTTCCATTTTAAAACTTAGATATTGTGTTTCAGCGTCAGTGTCAGCCGCATCTTACGGAGACAGTCAAGGAATCAGTAGAAGGAATTTGTTTAAAGATCTACCACCTCTCTGCTGATTATGCAAAGAAAATAAAAGAAAAACACACCGAAGTCCTAAAGGAAAGTGGTATATCAGGTATCTAGAATTAATGTGCATTTTATACCACTTGGTGAATATTGCATGTTGCATGTTCTTGTGCTGTGCATATTTCTTCCAATATCTGGCCACGTTATGTGTATGTGCCTTGCCCTTAGCAATTGTAACTTCTTAGTTTCTTGTAAGAAGATCTATTGATGTCAGTAGCCATTTCATATACGAGGTGCGATCGAAAGGTTTCCAGACTGCGCGTATAAAAACCCGTACACTTATCTCAGGTATTAAATTCATCCATCACCCTCGAAGTAGTTCCCCTGGGAGTGAACACAACGATCCCAGCGCCGCTGCCAAGCCTGGAAGCATCCCTGGAAAGCTTTCTTTGTCAGCCTGTCAAGCACCATCTGTGATTCTGCCTGAATCTCTTCTATCGTCTCAAATCTCCTTCCCTTTAGCTGAATTTTTTTAATGAAATCAGTTGTGATCTGACCAGATCTTCAGTATACCAGAAGGTTAACAGTCAACAGAGCACTGTATAAGAAATGGTAAAATATTTTGAATAAGTTGAGAGTTTATGAGAAAACTTTTTTTATATACATATTTCTGCCCTATGTTTTCCGTAGACAGTGGAAATTTCTGAAGTGTGTTCTCTTGTTATAATACATACGAACAGTACTGTGTTCAAACAGTTGATATCATTCTACAGAAGTGATGACACCAGTTCAGATGCCTGCCATACGCAAGGTTTGGTGTTACCCCATGCAGTTTGCCATGCCTTGTCCACGACTGCCTCAGGTTGATTACTTACCTGAGCGGGATCAAACCTTGCTTAGGTTTCATGGTGACACCATGTACATCAATACCACTCATCTTCAGAAACTGGTATGTACCATAGTGCTAACCATGACAACTTGTGGTTTGTCTTCTGTAATTTTGCTTTTAAATTGAATGTTTTAATATTTTTGCTATAAATGCTGCTGTTTAACTGGTAAAGATATGACCATCCATATTGTGTAGTTAGTCAGATACCAGCGTTATTGTTACGGAAACTTACTGTTTAACATATATGGTCCATACCTCTTGTGTGTTTGAGCTGATTTGTTTTTGGAAGTTGCACTGTTTATATCTTTAGGTTGATTATTCTGGCATATTCCTTTCAGTTTTGCCAAGAATACCAATGTTGTTCCTTATAACATTTCAGTTCTTCCTCCCATTACAACTTGATTCACCACTCTTAATTATTCTACCATCTGTTCTCTTCTGGAGTAAGAAATTCAATAAAGACAAATGCTGGAACAATAGAAACAAAGTAATATAATTATGTTAGTGCTTGGTGTTAAATTTGGTCATATTTGTCCTGAGGATCTTGGAGTTAATATTTTGGCTAAATGGTAAGCTAATTGCTGTTCACTTGATTCTGGATACAGTATATTAAGACAATATTGCAGCATTTATCTTGCCTTTTGCATGAGAATCCATTGTATATGTATTATGAGTAGTGTGGCCTAACACCTCTATGCAAAATGTTATTTGACTGGTTTACATATGGTTTATTTTACGAAACATTTAGTTTCTTAAAGTATCATCAAATGAGAAGATGGTAGTGAATAATGAATTGGAAAGAATGTGGAAGGAAGTGGTTGTGGCCTAATATAAAGCATTGTCCCAGCATTTGCATGGACGGACTAAAAAAACCCAGAAAAGCCTCGGTCAGAATGCCTGGTCTGTGGGCTGAGATTTCAACCTGGGATCTCCCAAGTACTAAGCAAAAGTGCTAACCACTCGACCACAACGTTTGGTTTTATTTGACTGGTGAATGCCTGCTTTGCTATCCATTAGTATGAACCAAGCCATAATAAACTAAGCGAGAAATTTGTAATGAGTGCAGGTGCCAAAGAAAGTGATACAAACCATAACAGAAGGGCATTGAAAGTTTGGAAATATACATTAGTACAGTCTTTAATTTCTGTGTCTTACCTGTCTAGGAAAATCAGGCTGAAATATATTCTTCAGGATATTGTCATACTTAGAGAGTTTTCAGAATTGACCGATAACAGTAATTAGCAGCTGTCATATCAATTATGTGTCAGGATTTCTGAGTGATTTACGTGAAATGTTATATGAGAATCATGCCATTGAAAATCTCCCCATTGACTTCTGAGAAATTTCATTCAGTTGAAATAAAAACAGATGTGTATTACCTTAAAGCATAACCTTTAAAAACCACACCTCTTTGTTTGTCATCATTGCAATAATGTTCTAGATTGCTGTAAAGGCTGAGTATAGAGTGAAATTGATCCCTGATTTCATAAATTTGTTCAGTGATTACAGCATATAGTTTATTATAATGTACATTGAACTTTTCCACATACACATTTATCCACAGACAGAATACAGAATTTTTAGTGGCAATTGTAGGTCATTTTAAGATAATGCATCTGTGCATGTGACTAATTGTTAAAAAGAAAGGGAGTCATTATTGTACCTGTAGGAAGATCTTTTTGGGGGGTTAAATCCACACTTGAAGGGATCATGATAAGGTTTTCTTTTCTGTGAAATTTTAAAAGATTAAACCATGTTTTTGGTTTACAAGACCAGTTTTGTTGTTAGAGTATTATAAGCTGATAGTCACTCAACTAATCAGATTCATTGCTCTTTATAGCTTTTAAAAGTTTATTACCATGTTCATAAGCCAGATGAATCCAGTCCACATCCTCAAACCATGTTTCTTTAACATCCACTGTACTATTAGTGTATTCTATCTAATACACTGTTCAGCTTTTTCTACATCTTCCTTGAAACATGGAAAAGTATAGATGTATTTCTGTAGGAAACACATGATCTTGTGTGCACAGAAGTTCAAAATGTGTTGTGCTCATAAGTCAAACAGTGCAGCTGTTCGCATGAAGCTGAAGGCCATGTCCAAGTGTATAGCAATGTAACTGTAACTGCAATGGTCAGAAAGACAATACATTATTCACATGTAGGTTTTGACTGTAACCACTGTATCCTAGTTTTTTTAAAGATGCTGATAGGTAACTAAACTAAAAAAACAATAACATTTTTCTTGATTAGAAGAATCTTCTTTCTTAATCCCCCCACCCCCATATGAACCTATCATACATTTTTCTTGGTCTGCCAACTTTATGTCATCCATAGTATTGTTCAGAAGATGGAAGAAGAACTGACCTGAGACACCAATCCTTTGTGTAGGGGTTAGTTGTCAAGGCCATAACTTTCGCCATAGCCGTTCGGTCTGAGGCATCATGCTTCTGACCGGTGATACGGAATGCGCGCTGGTTCGGATCTGGGGAGAAGAAATTTTCTCATGAGCTTTCGACCAGTGTATGGGACCAGTGCCAACCAAGCATCGTGAGGAAATTGGGGAGCTACAATAAGTAGCGTAATCCGGTCAGGAAAACTAGCAATGGCTGGGGGTTCGTCGTGCTGACCACACATCACCCTATATCTGGTTGGATGATCGTTCACCTCTGCTTAGGCATGTGAACGTGAGGCCAGCAGTCAAGCTAGTCGGCTTTGGCTCTCTGGAGCTGTTACGCCACAGATTTAATTTTTAATTTTATAACTCTTCCAGTAAGTTATTTCAAGTGCTTATTATTACTTAGCGTAATATTAAGAAACTGTGTTATTTAACAAATTATTTTACATTTCAGGAACAGTTGTACAGGTACAGTTGCTTTGATGACAAAAAGTTTGAACTTTTTCTGCCTCGAGTGTGGAGCTTGCTGAAACGTTATAAGACCTTCTTTGGAAGTGGACAGAATGAAGGCCAGGGAACTCAAGGAGCCCTTCCAGTCTCTGTGTTTGAGTGTCTCAACAAAATGTTTGGAGTATCATTTGAGTGTTTTGCTTCCCCACTAAATTGTTACTTCAAACAGTTTTGTTCTGCATTCCCTGATACTGACTCCTATTTTGGATCAAGGGGGTAAGTTGTACGTTTACATGGAATGTATGCAGTGTGTCCAGGCTACAGGTATCAATAAATAAAGTTCCCCATTTCAAAGAAAAAAGAAATATCTTCTTGGGTAATACAGGAACTGTCCAAGTTATTAATTCCAACATGCAAGGTCATCTGCATCTGTGTGCATGTGCAGAAGACTTGGTTATGAAAAATGAGGCAGTGTGACAAGTTGAGTGGTATAACTGATACAGTGCAGCATATGGACACCACAGGTGAAGGTACAGTATGTGTTGTGATCAACAGAACTTAAATCTGTTTCTTGAGTACAGCAGCGGTATTCAACATAAGTTCAGTACGATTCACCCACACATAAATCAATTCTGCAGTGGGACAGAACACTGAGGAACTCTGGTTGCACATACTAGAAAACATGAAGTGAGTCCAAAGATGGCTGTCATCAGGGTGATGATGGAGGCAGCAAGGCCTTCCGAACGTTGATAAACTTCTACGAGACTAAACGATGCTACAACCCAGAAGACAGCCATCTTTGTACTCACTGCTGTGAGAACCTCAAATCCTAAATTAAATGGGTAATACATGAGGAGGTGGTTGAACGTGTCAAAACTACAGGTACCTGGAGCCTGCATAGGTCAATAAAAAGGGCAAGTTGGAGATTGCAGTTTCCCCATTTATCTGTCCATGACATTGTCCATAAGCACCTGCATTTACACACATACTGTAACTGGATTTGTCAGCACATTACACCTAGCAGTCATTGTTTTAGGCAGAATTTGTAATTGAAATGCCGTCATGCATTGATGACGAGTATGAGCTAGATACTCTGCTTCTCTGGCAATTCAAATTTCACCTGTGCAGCAAAGTCAACAAGTACATCTGCTGCACGTGGGAGTATGAAACCCCTTTCATGTTGTGCTGCAACATGAAAGGGATACACTGAAAATTATGCTTGTGAGTTGATGTAAGATGATGTCATTCATTGGTCCCTTCCAAGAAATGTCATTGACCAGAATTTTGTATCTGGACATGACTAAGAATTGTGCTGTTGTAGACCAAGTTTCTCACATGTCAATGTTTTAGCATAATGGCGCTTCCCCACATTACCACAGTGAAGTGCCCGTTTTCTTGAACGAAGCATTTCCTGACCTATTGGATGCAGATAGGAGGGCCCATTACCTGGCAACCAAAGTCACCATATCTTACCCTACTAGACGTCTTTTTGTGGGCATGCATGAAGCCCATTATTTACTAATAGAGTGTGCAAAATTTTCAGGAACTGTGGGAATTCATTACAAATTCAGTGGCAAGGATCACCCCTAACATGCTCAGAACACACTTTGCAAGAGATTGTATATCATTTGGATATCTGCTGAGCACCAAGGGTTGCAAAATTGAGTTATACTGACCAGTAATATAAACTTGGAGAGTTTTATCACTATTCCACATATTTCTTTTCACTAATAAACGTGTATGTCTTCTCAGAATTAATTTTTATCCCTGATACCTTTAGCCTGGACACTCCGTAGTTTCTGTCGTCCCAGCCAAATAATCTGAGCGTTAGACTTCCTTGATTTAATATCCCACAGAAGAACATTAAATGAGGATTTTAATGTGCGGAGTGAAGCAACAGTCACTATGCAGCTGCATGTATTTATTTTTTAATTACTGTAATTCTGTGTTCTTTTTTGTTCTTGCAGGGTGACAATTAACAACAGTATATACATAGAGTTGTGTCTATAGTTGAAAAGCATAAATGTTTTTAAATAAGTTGAAGTGGTAATTAAAGTGTGAAATTACCAGTATATAGTGACATCTACTTTTTATCTTTGTTGTAAGTTAATATAGATGGAACTGTCTGTTCTGTTGCTTAAAAATAAGGTAATTTGTTTAGACTTTGACAGTCTGCATGAAAGGTAGCCAGTGAGAAGTGAAAGACATGTTGAACTTTCCTTATCATTCACATGCCATTTTAAAAATAATTCACAAACACAGTTTATAAATAACTTCTTCATTGCATGAAAACTCTTCTTGTGTTCCAGAATGCTCTAGTTGGTCGTGAGTTTGAGTTACTAAATTAATTTGGATAGGGCACATCCTACCTAATGTATAATCTGTTATTAGCAGTACAATTAATATTTAGTATCCATGTTGTAGAGATATTGATTGTATTCTCGTGCCTATGGTATAATGGAGTGTCACAATCTTGTTATTGCAGTAATAAATATTTGGATTCCAAAATGTTGGGGAATTGATTATCTTCTGGGTTTTGCTTCTGTAAGAAGTTGTTCCTGAAGTAGTGAAATGTACAGAGTTGTTTCTTTTTCTGAGATTAAATTCTTTAGGATTGTGAAGGAAAAGCAAATTAATATTAAGTTAAAAGTGTATTACATTTGTGGTAAGATCGTGTTGCTGTAAACTGGTTATATGAAATGGTATGGATGGCTGCTCTATGTTTACATACTATCCCACTTTGTCTTTTAGACTGCAAAGGCTGTGCATGAGGTAATGTTATCCATACATATACCTATATATAATTAGAAATGTCATATAGAAAGCATTTATTTTCCTGTTTGTCACATGTGCATATTCTTCATTATTCCAGTTTTTTATATGATCTTTCATCTGTGCAAATATGAAAATTCATTAAGTGAAATGCCATTGCTTGATTCTACAAACACTTCAGTTTCTTTATTCCAGAACATCGGTCAGTAGCACCTTCCCCACATTTTTTGTTTGTGTATCAACATGACATGCCAGCCACAGTGGCCACGCGGTCTGAGGCGTGGGCCTTGAACACTTGGACACTGGGATCATGGGTTCGAATCCCACTCAAGGCGTGGATGTTTGTCCGCAGCTTTCCATGTTGTGCCGTCCTGTATACAGGTAGAGGCCTTGTGATGGCCTGATCACTCGTCCAAGGAGTCCTGCAAAATGTCTAATAGATTAAGTGAAAAATAAAAAGTAAAATCTTGACACCTCCGGGTAGAAGAGGATCAACTAAGAAAGAAGGAAGTATTAATATGACTTAGGAAATTACATGACTGTAAGCTTTGTGATTATTTTCAGGCCTGTTTTGGACTTCAAAGCAGTAAGTGGTTCATTTGAAGCAAATCCTCCATTCTGTGAAGAATTAATGGAAGCAATGGTTAATCACTTTGAACAACTTCTATCTGATTCGCCAGAGGCACTTTCATTCATTGTATTTATTCCGGAGTGGCGCGACCCTGCACCAAATGCTCTCCTCAGACTCGAGACCAGTCACTTTAAAAGAAAGCAAGTTGTTGTTCCAGCATATGAGCATGAGTATCGGCATGGCTTTCAGCATCTGATTTCAAAGTAAGTTTACAGTTTGTTAAATATATTGCACTTGTTTCATATCTTTATATGCTTACTATTGCCATTTTATGTAACGGTGCTGTACTAGAATTAAACAGGTATGATTCATCTTTTCTTCACAAGTTCAGAAAATGTATAACTTATGTTTGTAACCTTTAACATTAATATCTAGCATATGGGAAAATGTTCCACCTGAGAGTTAACCTTTAGAATATGGAGAATTTAAATTTCGTCCCGACTCTTTGCAGCTGGATTAAATTTGTATTTAAATGCTGAAAAGTGCAGAGTCATAAAATAAATCATAGTCTGATCATTGACATTTTAAATCTACAATCTTGTAATTGAATGTATACTGTTTAGGCTGAATCAATTTTCCGAATGCGAAAGGTCATCTTCCAAGGTTTCTACACAATTTTAAGCCCAACAGACAATCGAGTTCAACTTGGTACTGGCCTATCGCCCCCACTCACACAAGAAAATGACATCCTGCAGGGATCAGTCCTGAGTGCTTTCCTATTTGGAATCGCGAGCAAAGTACATCGTCCCGTCTTGTGATGCTTATATGTTGACGACTTCGCCATATACTGTAGATCCAAATCTCTCCCAGCCATAGAACGACATCTGCTGCTAACCATCAATCAGTTGTCTTGGTGAAGTGAAGATAATGGTTTTAAATTTTCTGTCGCAAAGACCACATTTCCCCACTTCAGCAGACTCCGAGGTGTATTTCCTCACCCTAACCTTTTTGTGGATAACAGTCCTCTTCCATTAGTATAGACTTTGATATTTCTAGGGTTGGTTTTAGGCAGACGTGACATGGAAACCACACATTCGATAATTTTGGACAAAATTTCAGCGATTACTGAACATTTTACTCATTTCAACCGGCACTGCCTGGGGAAACATACAACTGTGCAGTTACACTACTAAATTGAGTGCCCTCAAGTCTAACAGTTATTAGATTCAAGGAGCTTTTGGAAGCACTGCAAAACACCACAGCTTTGCTTTGGTTCATGTGTTAGAATCTCCAGATTCATGGGTTTATTTAGAATCACTTAGACACTTTTTACTGAAGGAAAAGGCGACAACTATAAAATAAGAATAATTAAACTCGGTCAGATAATAAATATGACATGGCTAACCTGGTCTTTCACTGTTAACACAGGGCTGTTGATTACAAATTTATCAGAACATGACTTTGACTTGATTATAGCAGTTACACATGCAGCATTATTAATCTTCATCTGCCACAATTAATCTTCTTCATAATTCACTATACTCAGCCCAAAAACCACTTGATCTCAGAGACTACTAGTGTCCAGCTGCAGTGATGGTTCATGACTCCCCTTCCACTTTCCACCTGAATGACTCAGTATTAATTTTAAATTTTGAATTACTCTCATTGTTCACCATTGTGTGATGAGGTTTGAAGTGAGCCACAATAGTTCCATTTTGAAATCCTCTAGTAATTTCTGTGATACTCTTCCAGTAATTCTTAGCCACAATGTGAGGTTTTCTCTCTTAATTGATGGTGCTTGAAAAACCCGTGTGGAACTCATACCGAAATAAATTGGAAATGAATATTAAATTTTGTAGCTTGTAATATCTGAAAGAGAATATGTAAATTTGTTTGTCTCTAAAGCATACACACAGTAACCCTTGTTAATGAGCAAAATTGAATGTCATTGTATCATTCACATTTTCACTGCAAATATTTAAAAATAAATTAAATTTTATGACCTCAAAAGTCATTATACACTTGATTAAGGAAATCACTTCACTGGTAATTGAACCCCAGCTGCTTGCACCATAGGAAAACATACTATGAACTGAACTATTGCTGACAACATAAGTAAGCCTACTTTGTTACAAATGAGTCACATCCATGTATCATTTTTGTACTAGCATATGTACAAAAACTTATGAAATGCAGCCTAATGTAATGCCCTGTTAAATTGTAAAGAAAAACTCATCCTTTATATTAGCTTGCAAGAAATTATATTCAATCTTATAGCTTCATAAGGTTTCAGAACTCTTACAGTAACCGTTCAGATCAAATGAAGCAAGCATTTGATTTCTGGTAGCAGCATTCCCCCCCCCCCCAAGAAAATGCTTCTTGTTCATCTTCTGCAATTCAATCCATGTTTTCAGAAACAGCAGAAGTCAGAAAAGACTAATTACTTGAGAGGCAAAAAAATAATCTTCCATAAAATACATTTTTGTTACTTTGTTATGCCATTAATGCTTCAGGAAAATGAACTTTCTATGCATTCTTTGTATTTCATATTGTAGTAATACATGACTGTGTTACACACATACTTTACATTAGAATTATGCCATGCATGCCCAACCCCAATATCTTTATTGTTGCCAAGGTTTGGCAAACCTTGAGAGACTGGTGACATCACAGCTTGTGCACACACTCACATTCTGTCTATCTACCATGTTCGACCAGCTTATAGAAATGGTGTGGAACCAGGATGCCCTCTCATGAACTTAACAGTGGCACTTTAAAAGGCAACTGGTGTGGAGAGACACGATGTTTCAGTGTGCGGAGTTAGACGAAGATGGAGTGCCAAGTGAATTGTAGGCAAAATAACCGCTGTAGTGTGTCCGGTTGAGTGACAAAGAGAGTTCAGTACAGGGATTATTATGACAAATAGAAGAGAACATTTGTATATAAAGATAATCAGGCCTGTGGTTTGTGAAGTAAACAGTTGTGACAGTGTGAAATTAATCCATTTTATGGTTTTAAATAAAGAACCTACTGTATAATGGCAGATTACATAACAATAATATAGTACATTATTATTGCAACTGTAAGCAGTGCAAAAAATGCAAGTAATAAAATAAGATTGATGTGTATATAATGTATAAGATTCAGTTTTTAAATAAGCATGACAATTTTTATGTAAAATATATATTTAAAATGAATAAGTAAAGAAATTTAGGTGGAGCATAAGAATTCTGGTGCATTTTTTCTGTTCTTGCCTCCACATTTAAATTTATGAATGCAGGAACAGCGTGAATGTTAATCATTTGGCTCAACAAACACTTTGAAAAATGAAACTTAAGAATTCTTACTTTTGTCGTTCACTTGTACTCCATACACTGGTAGACAGACGAACCAGTCAGATAAAGTGTGTTGTGAGCCACCTAACTGAGGCTTGAGGCTTATGTTTACAGTCTGTTCACGCAAATATAATCAGAAGAGACATGATACAGTATAAGCTTGAGGAGGAGGGACATTCTAAGCTCACATGTTTGCATGCTTTGTTGCATATGGAGTGCTGCATCACATTTCTCTTGATTTTAATTGTGCACATGCACCATGTTGTAACTTGTGACTGTGTATCTGAAAGCTGAAGTGTGGTGTATATACTCAGTGGCTGACATTTAACACACCCCACTCTCCTCCACCTTCCTCGAGATTTGGCTAACACTTTTTAAAAAGTCACACTTAACCGCCGCATGAATGCTGTTATATCGGTAGTGTATGGTGAGATGGAAAACTGTTCCATCAAAATATGACATTTTACCTTTGCAAATGCCACCTGAAATTACCCATCCTGTTTGCCAGTTCTGCCAGCTCACAATAGGAGCAGAAACAGCATTAGTCAATGGCTTGTGACTCTTTTCTTGTTTGGAAGGCCCTGGGTTTAATGGAACTTGCTTAGTTTCTGCGCAAAGTGTGTGCCTTCATAGAACACATTTCAGCCATTTACTTGATTTTAAGGAAAATGTGGCTTAATAATGTTTGCACAATCACAAGTTCAGTTGCATTATGTCTTGTCACTGTTATATAATAAAGACATTGTTTAGAAAATTAGAAGAGTATTATCACATTACCTTTCTTTTTATGGGGAGGGGGAATTCTGATATCCAGTGTTTAGCTAAATCCATGGAGCATTAAGAGAGCAGAGATTTTGCTCACCTTAAGTTGCTAATGTAATGGTTACAAAGATTGTTGTGTGCAGTCTTACCAGTATATGTACACGTGCACGCACACCATATAACATTCATGTTTTTATCACCATTCAATTATTATTATAGGAGTGAATTGAATGTGAGGTCAGCACATGGGACTCTGGTAGTTTGGCTGCAAAATAATGCAGGGTACCAGCGCTGGGGACCCACTGATGATCGAGTAGAAGCGCTACTGGAAGCATTCAGGCCAGGTCGAGAGCGAGAACGAGATCGTCAGGAATTACTCTCACCTCAGAGAAATGATGCAGGTGATGCTGTCTCCACCCCTGTTCCAAACCCCCAAACTCCTCCAGATAACAAATTACCTGTACCTGAAAGGCAAGTGTAGAGTGCTTTGAGATAAATGTGAACTGTGAATCTGTACAAAATTGTGACCCTCTGGCAGCAAAGACCTTTATGAGAGGCCATAATGTGAGAATGAATGTTTGGACCAGTTGTGAAACTTAAAATATGATCTCTCTATCATAGGATCTAAATCCTGCGCTTACTTGATGATAGTTTTTGTATTTTTTATGAATTGGTTAAAAGCCAATGCTTTTACTTTTGGCAGCCTAGAACCTGGAATGTCTGTGTGGGAATATGAATCTAAATTTTGCAAATTTGAGATACTTATATGTTTCTTTTATGGGAAAGGTATACCTGCAATAGTCCTTTTACCATACCAGGTGAGTGGTGTTTTAGAATTACTTTTAGGTAGTACTACACTTTGAACTCATTTTGTAAGTAACTGTAGCTCATACTTTATGTAGATGTCACATGTTTTTAAAACATACCTTTAGAGAGAGTATTTTTTAATTTGGTTTGTAAAGAGTGGACCATGAAATGAGGGCAGTTTTATTTAGTGTTTGAAGATATATGAGGTGATTTTTTTTAAAAAAAGATTAGGCTACATTATTTTCTGACATGTCTTAGAAAATGTAAAATACAAGGTGGTCAGAAAATCACATAACTAATAAACACACGTATCTCTGTGACTTTGGTAGAGCCCACACAGGTCACGTCATGTTGTAGCCTGCTCGTGCCAGCCTGTCAGTTTTATTTCAACAGGTGAAGTACAAGGATGTTTTTCACAAATACAGTGAATTTCTTTATCAAACACTAGCTGATATCTTGTTCTTATGTAACTTGTCAGAATGAGTTTAGGTATACGTGTCGTGATTCTCCTGTGCCAAACAAATAGACAGTATCTCACCTGGTGAACTGTTTCCATGGCACAGGAACTCTCACCAGGTTGCATCATACTTGAGGAAAACAGTGAATGCAGTGGACACTGACTGTAATACTGGTTGTTGTTTTGTTGTTTCTTTTTTATTTCAGGGGTTTGGGGGGGGGGACAGATATGACGTGTCAGAAATGGGTTGCATGACTTTTTGATCACTCTGCATTTAGTCATTAGAAACATGTTAAATGTTTTCACCATTAGGTTCTTCAGCTAATTACAAACATTGCACCAGATCAGTTACAACTCTGTGACAAGGGCCGTCATGAATGGACTTGTACAATTGCGTGTTTTTCGCTCTGTGTTGTAACTTGTTTTGTGGTCAGTTTGCAAAGATGTTCTTCAGGAACCCCAGCATAAAATGATCATATGGGTGTAAATCAGACTGCAAGGTTGTCATGAATGCCCACAATTGACATTTCAGGAAATTTACAAAATTATGACATCCTGAAATGTCTCACGAAGAAAGTCCAGGTGCTCTCCATAATCACGGTGTGTTCGTGTATAAACCCTTTTTCCAATAAGTGAGGCAAAAAGTAATTTTCCAGTATATTGTGATATCTTCTGTATTCATGTTTTGTTTTTTTAAAAAAACGTATGGGACTAATCAGCCCATGACTTGAGAGAGCACACCACGTCATAACTTTTTCACCATGAAACAGTACTTCCTGCAGTTGATGAGGGTTTCCCACAACGAAAAATCTGCAGTTTTGTGTATTCATTACACCATTTGAATGAACAATGTGTGCTTCATCTTTTAATCATGTGTTATGCAGTATTTCAGCCTCTGTAAGCTGAAGACAGCTGTGTTAATTCTGTTTAGTAAGCTGTGGGTACTGAATGTTGTAGAAGAATAAGGACATATCAGTTGTTAGCATTCAACTGATGTTCTTCAGATTTGCAGGTGCTGACTTGCTTTCCATTGGTTTTGTAGGGCTCCTTACCATTTTCATTCAAAAATGGTTTCTTCTAATGAAAATCACTTGCGCAATTTCAGAGCTATGTCCTGCACAGTGCCCAGTTTGTGTTAAAATGAGCCTTGATACATCTTCGCATTAGGGTGACATTTTTCAGTTCTACATAAAACTACAGAACGTTACTCTGTTGTTCTGTGGTTAAACAACACTTTTCATCTGTTTCATTTTTCAATATGCTCCTAAGCAACAAGAAGCTATCATCTCATGGTCCATTCTTCTAATCCAGATCCATCATACTTGTACCTGAAACAAAGAGAACATTTTTTTAAAAATATGTGATAAATTAAACACAAAAGCATATAATTGTGGAACATTTCCTTTGTGAGTTGGAAAATTCTTGCTCTTTTCACTAACTGCTACTGCTTCACCCATGCACTTTTCATCTGTAGTGTTTCCAGTGAAGTAAACAAACTAGTGTGAATCTTTTTATCTGCAAGAGTTTAGTGACAGATTTTTAATGAATCTGTGTGTGTTTCTTTCAACCTGTCACTTAGACACTTACATACTATACAGTTCTCTTGAAATTTTATATTGTATATATTTTATTGTGTATTATAGGGAACAGATTTTACACACATAACTGCATAGTTTATAACTTGTTTCCATTTTATGTATATGGAATCAGTTTGCCATAGCAAAATATAGTTATATTTATTTGTATATAGCAAATGTTTTAGCTGATAACCTGATAGTGAAGCAACTTGGAAGTAGAGTATTTTTAAGATTAAATTTGGATTGCAAAGAAATGTGATGGTGTTAAACAGGCACTGAGTCATCGGAATGCAATTCGTACATGAAAAGATGAAAGTAATCTCAGAGTCTTAAGTATCTTTGCAATTAAATTTATAATAACAGTTCTAACAAACAGCTCAAAGTTTAATGAAGTTGGTACAAGGTGGCTGTTTTCCGGGTTGTTGTGCCGTGTAGTCTGGTAGAAGTTTACTGACACTTCAGAAGTCCTTGCTGCCTCCATCATAAGGGTGTTTAGTTACTCATTGTCCTGATGATGGAGGCAACTACAACCTGTGAAACGTTGTTAAACGTCTACCAGATTACACGGCACAACAACCTGGAAGACAGCCATCTTCAGACTCACTGCCGTGAAAACCTCAAATCCTACATGTTAGTACAATGCTGGTGTAAGTAAATGATATTAAGATTGCACAAGCAGATGTAATTTGGTTTCAGGAGCAGTAATGACATGTCTATGTACAAGTCAGTATATTACAATAAATTACATGCTTGTTCAAAGTACAGCTGCACGTGATTACTCTCAGATTAATTAATTCCACATTCAGAGTTGCATGTTTTGACAATCTGGACTGGTTGTGTAATAACAATAACATCCACAATTATTTTTACAAAATGAATCTCTTTTGTGGTTTCCATCTGAATTTTGAATTTGGGACATAAAATTCCACATTATTTTTAATGTGTGTAAGCTATAGTTGTTATGTCATTATGATCAATTTAGGAGACTGATATTTTTTCAGCGTGTAGTACCTAATTTTTTTTTTTTATTTTAGTTCTGGTACTTTTCTGAAACCAGTTTCGATCACCTAGTCTCATACCACTTTGCAAGATCAAATATTGCCATATTAGTATATGACATATCTTTCTTTATAAGTAATGGTTGAAGCACTGTTAATACTGCCTATTATTGTTTATTTTCATCATCTCTTTCCTTTTGTGAAGTTCATGTATGTCCAAAGCGAGGATCATTTCTGCAGTTTACCGAATCTGGGTCTCATGCATTGACAGCACAGTGGGTAAAGTTGTTTAATTTAGTGGTTTTGATCAGTTTGCTTGTTACATTCAGTGAGCAAATATTTTCAGAAGAGTGTTGTTTCAACTGTAGTCGCTTTGGTCTCAGACATTTTCACCCACTTTCCCTCTGTTCGGTGAAATAAAAGTCCGGTCTGTTTTAGGTGCTGTTATTTTGTACTCTGAATTTTTGTGTCCAATAACATTTATGTTAAATTAATTTTCTGACCAACAGTCCCACTGGCTGCAACTTAAGTAGGGGGACCCCCCCCCATTTCCCCTCATAGCAGAACAGCAGCACTACAACAACTGCCTTCCAGTCCAGTGTTGTTATTGTATTTCATTTGTACTGAATTAGAAACATTTTAGCTGAAACTCTGTCCTCTACTAATGTTACATTTGTGGGGCTTAACACGAACTTCTTCAAATGCAGGGAGTTGCTTAAAAACATTTGCAGTATTTGACCCTGGTGGTGTAGAAGGAAAGAAAAGAGAGCAAGGAAGGACAACCACAGTTATTTTAATTTGTTAGGTTAGGGTGTCTATAAATCAGTTATTGCAAAGTACCTCAAAATTTGGCCAGACATCCCCGGCAAATGGCTTCCCTCATCCAAAACAAAAACCCCACTGTATATATCATGGTTTGTAATGCATCACTACATTACTACTCACACCTCCACATTTTTTTATACAATGTCGATTATTTGAATGAAAGAAAGATGTGGAATTGTTATTGGCAAATATAATTCCATCTGTTTTGGATATTAGTATGTTTTGTTCAGAATCTGCTGGAGAATTGAAATAATCACTTCGGATATTAGTATGTTTTGTTCAGAGTCTGCTGGAGAATTGAAATAATCACTTCATTCACTGGCTCTACTCTTTGTTATCTCTGAATTGATAACTTCCAGTTTGATTCTTCAGTTTTCTCTTGAATGATTTTTTGACTCAAATTCATAATCAAACATATGACACCCTTTCCTTCTAATGTTACATTGGCTTACTTAGGTCAAAATCATATCTAGGATTAATATAGTAAAACTTTAAATTAAGCATATTATTCTAAATGTTTATTTGGTGATAGCATGCATTGAAATTGTTATCATTCATGAATTACTCAAAAACTGACCCTTGCATAACTCCATGTGTCATTGTCCCCCATTTTGGACTTGTACTGTCCCCCATCCCCCCCACCTTTTGTTTTCTGATTGTAAGATTGCATGTTAACCATTTTGCAGAAGTTTCTGGAATGCTATAAAAGTCATTAAGATTTCATGATTTATGCAGTCAAAAGCTTTTGCTAGATCACAGAGTATTCCTACATGCATTTTTATATTCTTAGTTACCTTGAATGCTACATTATTAGTGAATAAATCTTTCCAAAAGCCAAACTGTTCGGGGACTGATATGATGTTCTGTAATGACAGAACCTGTTTTACATGATCATCTCTAATGTTTTAGAGACATTGTTCAACATTGAGACAGGCCTGTAATTAGTAATACAAGATGTGTAATTTTTGAGTAGTGGTTTTACTGTTGGGATTTTAGGACAGGGAAGAAGCTTGTGTGCGGTGAGTGGTTAGAAAAAGACTTTGACAGGAGACTAATTTGAAATGAACATGCCTTCAGAATTTTAGTTGTTATTTTATCACAACTTGATAGGGTTTTTTTTGATATGAGGGAACAAATTGTACTTTTTATCTCAGCTTCAATGGTAGAAATAAGTTTAATTGCAGGGAATTGTTTGGGAAATTAATATTTTTAAAAGTGAGATTGCATCTTGTTTCTCTGTTTGATGTAAATTTAAATGTTATGTGGTCGTTAGAAAGAAATTGTTGAAACCACCAGCAACTTTTCCTCAATCCTTCACTTTGACCTGTCACAGCCATGGATTAATATTTTTAATGTTGGACATTTATGGAAGATGATACTGGTAAACAAAACAGTATGTGTGAGATTTCATGTTCTCATGGTAGTGAGTGTGAGATTTTGTGCCATGTAGTTTGGTAGAAATTTTACCAGTGTTTCAGAGGTGCTTCTATCATCAGGGTGATGGTCATCCTGATGATGGAGACAGCAAGCACCTTTGAAACATCAGACTACATGGCACAACATCCCAGGAGAGAGTTGTCTTTAAAATAGTATACATATGAACTTAGAAAATGTGAAAATGGCTTTATTATGAGTTGTTCTTTGTAGTCAAATGGATTTTTATAATTTCATAGGTGTTTACTAGCCTCCATCATCAGGGCAAAGATAGTGATCATCCTGATGATGGAGGCAGTAGCCCCTCTGAAATGTCAGTAAACTCTGACACAACACAACAACCCAGAAGACAACCATCTTCATGTCCACTGTCATCAGAACCTGAAACCTTACAAACAATGTTGTGACCACTTTATGTCCTGTTGGTGAAACTTTTATTTTCATTCATACATGGAACACTTGTCCTGCATATTACAATGAAAGGTTAATTATGTTCTTTTTGACCTTACTGGCCCCTTCATGCATGGCATGTGTGAAAGACTACATTTATGAAATTCATTAGCCTCCTAATAAAACCATATTACATCATAAATTTAATGTCTGTGTGAATGTTTCATGTTTCAACAGAGTTCATGTAAGTCAGTACCATGTAACAAATGTTGATACACTGGCACCACCTCACTCCGTCACAGTCTGGTACATGCAGAACACAATACAATAAAAGTCCATCTTCAAACCCAATACTTGACTCTTGATTTAGTATTTTAAAAGACTAATTATACCATACACGCTATGGTTTCACAGTAAAGATTGTTTTGCGGCAAACTCTCGGCATATAATGAAAGCAAGTGAACAATTGCTGCAGAAGGTTTTACTTAAAAGTTGTTTGATCTTCCACAAGTTTATGCTAACATTAATATTACTTTTATATTTAATTACATTTCTGACTGTAAGACAGGAAGATGAAAGCCAATTATTCACCTGAATTGTACTTGTGTAATATGTTATTCTCATATTTGTAATGATATTAAGAAGTTTCTCTAAAAAAAATTTGAACCAGTAAGAAAACTCAACCAGTTCAATATACGTGCCATGCTCCACAGGATTGAATGTTATAAATGCAGAATAAAACTAAATAATTGGATTATATAACAAATAGAGTCATAAAGTCAAGTCACTTTAATATTTTTCTATAAATTATATATCAAAATTTATTGAGTCTGTTGTTACTTACAATTTGCAGTGTTCAGCATTTGTCCTGGTCTTTCTGACTGCCTTCTGCCTGTGTTTGCATTCGTCTTCACACAATTTTTTTACACTCTCTTTTCTAGAAATTATACAGTAAGACTTGCAATTTGAGATTCTCATGGCAGTGAATATGTTAGTTATTGTCTTGTGGGATGTGATGTTTGGTTTCATAGGTGGTACCATACATTTTGGAGGAACATGCTACCTCCATCTCCAGGGTGCAGATGGAGGCATTACTTTCTTCCAAAACATTGGTGATACCATGGTATCACAACTCAGAAGAACACAATAAACAGCTGAACATAATTTGAAAATGTTTCAAAATTGTTTCTGTATGTGGTGAGTTTATTTTCTAGTGGTTCCGTGTAGAGTTCATCTAAAATGTCTTCATTAGTTAGAATGCATCAAAGAACAAAAATTTGCATAAGCCAGAGGATTCAAAAGAGGGGTAACATGTGTTGATGATAACATGTTCTGGGTGGCCACTGACTGAAATTATTAGGGTTAAATAGCAGATTGATTAGCATATTCATACCTTCAAGCCTGTCTGAATGTATTTCATTCTGATGAAATCAGGAAACTTGTGAATCAGTGGGCCAGATACATTGAAAAGCATAGTAAATGTGTCACACTATAGTAATAATAATAATAGTTTATAATGATATTGCCTTTATTTGTCTTCACATAGTTTGTATTTGCCATCTGTACTTACTTTATGTGGCCTACACTGTTTTAGGACATGTTTCTCCTTCATTGTGGTTGCTAAAGCAAGCCCATTTTCTGATATCAGCTGCAGTCAAATACTCATTTAATTCTTTGAAAATCTGAATTCCAAGTGCTCATTTGTGAATTGTATCTCCTAAATTTAGAAATTTTCTTCCTAATTGCTGTACATTATGGTACTTCAGTGCTGTGTAAAAATTTAACAGTAGTATTGTCATAATTTCAGTTTGCAAAGAAAACAGGTAATTCATATGGTATTAGATTTTGATATTCATTACCACTTAATGGTATCACCATTTTATTTTCTGTAATGGGCTTTTTAAAATATTTGATTGTGTATGCTTTCTGTTGGGTGGTATATTCTTTCCTTAAAATATGTATAATAGTGATTCAGATATATTCTCATTATTTTCATAGTTTGAACCTGGATGTGAAATGTGAGAAATTTAAAACATGAACATGGGTTGTATTAATGTTTTTGAACCTATTTATTCTTCTACATACAGGTGATATTACTGAACAATTAAGAAACCATTTTGCCTTTTCATGTGTTCCTTGCATTAAGTGCATAACATGAACCCATAATTTGGGGGTGGGGGGGGGTCACATCAGTCTGTCCAGTTTTGGATTATGTCTCTAATAGTCGTAAAAGATACAAAATTGTGTGAGCCATGTAAAACTGGAAAGAAAGGAATCGCATCAAAATCTATCCAACTTAAAGCAGTACCAGTAACATTTTCCTTCCACTTGACACTGGCTTGGGATTGCCCATTAAAATATCAGTGGCAAATATGTTAGCTTACACATTAACAACGCTGCATTAAATTCACCCACCTGTATGTGATAAAATCAATAGAGTCAATGCCAAGCACTTATTCCCATGTTGTATTATATTCCTTTTCAAAGCCATTAGCATTAGAGTGGTCACTGGAGAGGCTGCCAGATGCTCATACTGGGTGTATGCCCTCTGGTCATATAGCAAGATTATTGTGTTGGTGCTTGCAGTCCAAAGTAGATGTAACAACATATTTTTTATTAAAAAAATAATGTGTGAGATCCCAGTTGCCCACCTTTCTGACTTACCCAGAGTCCCAGGTGCACCCCATCTTTTATAGCTAGTTTGGCTCTTTCTATGGAGCAGGCAGGCAAGGCGAAACCACAGTGGTATTTTGCTAGTAAATCCCCGTAATGGGGTGCCAACCAATCCTAGGATTGACGACCAAAAAAATGGAGCAAGCACACCTAGGGACAGAGGGTGAGCCAGATTTTTGGCCGATGGCACCCATCAGAGCATGCGGCCATGGTCTCTGTTCAC